AAGGACGCACATATTCTCAACACTGAAGTGGATAACGTGGAGAGATGGGCACATAGAGGGCGGCTAAAATTCAACGCTCAAAAGTGTACAAGTCTCACCAGAAAACGCAATCCCATCGTTGCGGAATACGTTATCAACGGTCGTCCTCTGCAGCATGTTTCCCAACAGAAACATATTGGAGTGACAGTTTCCTCAGACCTGACATGGTCCTACCATATTCATGAACAGATCACCAAATGGAATGCTAAAACGTTCTACTGGTCAAATTAAAGATGTAACCACTCGACGCAGTATATATCTGGCATTTGTTAGATCTCACCTCGCCTACGCGTCCCAAGTATGGAGAAAACAAAACGTCAGCATGTGTGGCGAACTGGAAAAGGTTCAAAGAAGGGCAACCAAATACATCCTCGCATTGCCCTTCAAAAGTGACATCACATGCAAATCAAGGCTTACTAGTTACTTTAAAAATATTACCTCTAAGTTACTGGCATGAGGTTTTACAATAATTGAGTAAATTGACCTCGATATTATGCCTGAACAAGCCAACAAAGTTCACCTAACGATCGGTTAGTGATTCTCTCATCACATATCACATACCTAAAACCAAAACATTATGCCAGCAGAACAGTTATGTGGTGCGAGTTGCAAGGATATGGAATACTCTTCCAGAAAAGTTACGCGAACCGGAAATTTCGTTTCCAAGTTTCAAGAACCTGAACCACATTAGAGCCACTGGAACAATTTTTGACTTAGATAAGCCACAGTGATGGTAAACTGCATGTCTGGAACTCCAAAGGTCTGTTGTTATTAGCCAGTTTCGCTTGAAACTATATTTCATTATTTATATTGTGCATTATGTCCCTGTGCTGTTTTGTACTTGTGTGTTAAAATGTGCATTCTGTGTATTGTACTTGTTAAACCAGGTCGTCAACTTACACTGTGCTGGCATTCCAGTGCCGTTTTGTACTAGTGTAAATTTTGTAAACGGCAAAGTTTAAATAAATAAAATAGTCCTTGATAACGATGACGACAGTCCTGTTCTACGATTACTGTAGTCCTTCACTATGACGAGTATAGTCTTTGACTATGATGACAGTAGTCTTTGACTGTGATGACCATAGTCGTTCACTATGATGACTATAGTCCTTGACTGTGATAACTATAGTCCTTGACTGTGATGACCATAGTCCACGATTGTGATGACTATAGTTCTTGACTGTGATGACTATAGTCCTTGACTGTGATTACTATTGTCCTTAGCTGTGATGACTATAGTCCATGACTGTGATGACTATAGTCCATGACTGTGATGACTATAGTCCATGACTGTGATGATTATAGTCCATGACTGTAGTCCATGACTGTGATGACTATAGTCCATGACTGTGATGACTATAGTCCATGACTGTGATGATTATAGTCCATGACTGTGATGACTATAGTCTTCGACTGTGATGACTATACTGTATCCATGACTGTGATGACTACAGTCATTGACTCATTTGATTGTAATGAATATAGTCCTTGACTGTGAGGACTATACACTTGTAGTCTTTGACTGTGATGACTTTAGGCTTCGACTATAAAGACTATATATCATCGACTGTGATAAATATAGTCCTTTACCATGATGACTATAGTCCTTGACTGTGATGACTATTGCCTTTGACTGTGATGACCATTGTCTTTGACTATGGCAACTATTATGTTTGACTTTGAATCTATGATAACTACTAGTGGTCTTTTACTATGACTTTTGTCAGGGCCTTTCAGAATTTTTTAAACCGCCCGCATGAGTGTAGCGAAGTGAGTCGCACTGATGCGTAAAGCTATTGTTATGTAAGAGAAAGGTGAGATCATTTTGGCTATCTTTTACTAGGGTGCGACTATAATAAAGGAACAACAGTATAACTTAATTTAGAATAAATTATCAGTGTGAAACAAATTCTTATATTACATACATGACACAATGCTATCATGTACAGTCCTTGCTCCTTGACAGGATGACTATAGTCCTTGACAGGGTTGACTGCAGTTGATGACCATGAAGAATACTTGACTGTGATAACTGTAATATGCCAATTGCACATTTGAATGTCCATTCGTCCAATATACAAATTGAATTGTCCATTGGGCATTTTGAATGCCCATTTGTCTAATAGAACATTATGAACATCCGATAGATTTTGATGGCAAACACTCCAGCCTGCTTGGAATCTAACTACGTCATCTGCTATTGCGTATCCATTGGACATATATCCACAGGGTTCTTAATTTGGAAGTACTTCATATTAGCTTGCTAATGTAAATTAGTTGGGTAGCAGTACCAGTATTAGCCTGGTACTGAGGCTAATAGTTTTAAATATTAGACAATGTCACATGTTTTAAATGATAATCTGAAAGCCAAAGATTTGGTTTATTTTATGTCATAGATTTTCATCATACATGAAGAGATTATGACCCCCAGTTTCTCCTCAGTTTTTACCCTGGTTGTCAGAGGTTGTCATAATAAGGCGGGAGATACAGTACGAGAACCTGAAGATTCCAACAACCAGGGTACTCAGTTTTGACTGAAACAATTACAAAATTGGTCTTGACAAAGAGGCATGCCCCCCTGTGGGCATACCTCTGAGATTGGAGGCTAATTGGAAGGTGGGCTAAAAAGAGGCTAGGGGCTAACTAGAGGAAATATGGTACTAGCTCTTTGTCTCATAGGTGATATATTTGCATATGTGGTGGAAGATTGGTTTGGTTGGGGGACTAGGGAAATCTGGGGAGGCATATGCTGCCCTGGAAAATGTTGAAACATAGACTCTCTGAATTGGCATTTCCTGCATCCCGAGGAAAGTTTGACATGCAGAAAACTTGATTTATTAACATCATACAAAAACTGTTTCAAGCAACATATCAGGGAATTGTGAATATTTAATAATTATATAATAAATATTTTCTTTGTAAGGGCTTATCCCCCTCTTTTTAACACTTTTTCAATGTTGGGGGGAGGGCTTTAAACCACCTAGACACCCCCTCCCCCTGATTCTTCCTATGGATATTTATGCACATATTCGCTTTCCTTGTTGTGCATTTTGGCACATTGCATTTTTAATCCTTATACAGGGGGTGAGGACCTTTGCATTTCAAAATTTTAGAAACATTTTAGAAACAAATTCCCCTTGAATTTTCAGAAACAAGGTTTTTTATGAGCAGGGTCCTTTGAAAACTGCCCCCTGGAAATACATTATTTTTACCCCCTCCCTTGGAATTTCCAAGCCATTTGGGAGATTCCAAGGTCCAATTTCTGGAATTTCCAAGGTCCTCACCAGGCTTTTTTTCAGGGATTTTTTAGGGCCGTTAAACGGCCACAAAAACTCAATATTTAATTGAGTTTTGAAACTCAATCTTCTCACCAAAGTTTCAGTGCAGTAAAAATGAAGGTGTTCGAGTTAAATTTGTGACGTGTGGAAATTAGTTTTCAGTTGGAAACCTGACAATTAAGAAAAAATGACTGGAATTCATCGCACAACACAAGAAAAACTATGCATTCGCCATCCTTAACCAGTTTATAGTGTCCCTCAGTGCCCCTGCTTTAACACATTCCGTCTCAACTACATTTATTGAGTACAAGTGTCAGCCCCATAGATATCTTATATATACTAGATAGTGCATCTAATTATTCTGCAATTCAAAAATTGAAGCCGTGATTGCAGTCTCAGGTCGTTCCCATGAAATGAGAAGATTCGTATGTTTTCTATTTCTTAAACAGGGAACTTAAACATTAAGTTAACCCTATTCCAAATACGTTTTTAAACTATTCAAATAAGGAAAGTTATTGTTGTTTTTAAGCGTTTATTGGCAAGTGGGAACGACCAACATGGCCGCCATCTATTCAAATGGAGGTAACCACTGGAATATTCTTGGCTTCAATTTTACTAAAAGAGATGCGCTATCTAGTGTATATAAGATATCTATGGTCAGCCCCCTGGTAGGGGAGGGGGGGTGCAACCACCCCAGCTGTTCAGCTAAACACAATCTTCTCTGCAAAAACGGACCCAAGAGAAAGTGCTGAAAAGAACCCTGCCCCCCCCCGTGTAGCATTAAAAATGCAATGTGGCATTTACGTTAAATGCCTGAAATTTCCTTATGAAATAAATAAGTGAATAAAAGCACAGCACATAGCTTTGCGTATGATTTGAGGTAATTAGTACCAATATAAAATTTAGAAACATTGAAACTTTTCCGTGCGTATACCAATTATACCACGTCGAAGACTCGTACTCGTACTGCCACAGCTATTTACCAGGTACGAGATTGCATAATTCCGCGTGTAATATTTGCGCTTTTACGCCGAATATACAAGCAAACTAAAAGTAAAGAAAATGATACTTACCTTTTTTAACTGGCCACCATTTAATAATTGCATCAGGCAATATTATGTATTACTAATATTTATGTATTTATAAAATTTTTATACAATTTGTTTATACAAAATTTCAAAATTGCAACATTCTGTTTGTTTCCACTTGTAAAAATATATTTCCTCAAATTCCTCTTCCGTCAACTTCCTTTCCAACCTCGTTCCCAGGCTCTTTGCTCTTGTGAAGCAAAGAGCCTGGGAACGAGGTTGCTTCCTTTCTTCCGTCCTAAATTTTCATTTTCACACCGTAAGAAAATCAAAATTTACTTTCGGAAAAGTTTGGATACCAGGATCCAGGAAATAGTTTTCAACAAGTGGAATGGATGATTCCACTAAAATCAATGGCGGACACTTCACGACAAATTGGGAGCTAGTTTTTTTTTTGGGGGGGTGTGTGTGAGGGGGGATTAGGTTGCTAACATATGACCACCTTTTGTAGCTACAATCTTGGACATATTAACCGGTTGAGACTATTTTCCCAAAATTCGCATATTTTTATGATAACTCCATGTTGAATCATGTTGCCCTTCTTAAGCCCCAAGCAGGGGTAAGGTAAGGTAATTAATAGCTTTATTAGCATGACCATAAATTTACAGTATTGCTAAAGCATTACAAACAATATATAGAAGAAACTATGATAAACTAGGACTATTACAGATTACTATTTGTGGAATGATTTATAATAGACTAATACTATATTAAGAAGAATTAAGAGGAAAGAAAGAAGACAAGTATACTATTTACAGATAAGTTAGTTATCACAACCTTTGCTAATCTGCATTCCTGGTTTCAAGGTATTTAAGTCTTTGTTCGAAACGTGAATAAACAAATTTTGAAAGTTTGGTAATGATTTCACTATCAGTTGATTTCATTAGGTCCGCTGATAGAGTTTGAGAGTTTAGATTAATCTCGTCAGATGAAGCATTCTCTAATGAACTTCGAAGGTTTGCACGAGATTGCTCATAG